CCTCCCCCCTCCCCCCTGTTGACTTGCTAATTGTGCTCATTCAAACCTTGCTTGCTTACCCCCCGGGTTGTTTGTAGCCCTTCTTTGGTTTCTATTAAAAAAAGAAAAACACTCCAAAAGTTAGTATAGACAAGGCCATTCAGTTCAACAACTTTAATCGTTACTTATTCACTAAAAGATGGAGAATAATAAGTTACTCAATTCAGTCGTTCAGTTATATGAATCCATCCCAACCATTTTTCTCCAACGCAGCACCCGGCAAAAAACTTAATGTTGGGGGTATTTTGGTCAACATAGAAAGTGGTACAGTATTCAAAATGTTCACTGCATTGAAGCAGAAATTAATGTTCTGTGGGTCCATAGAACTCACCGGCGGGATTAGATTGGGCCACTAGGTAGTGCTGAAACAAGACATGTATTGCAAGGCGCTTGTGAGGCCCAATAATGCCGCGAGAGCCTATAGTTACGTGGGGTCATCTACAGAATACCATTTATCACTTTACCAGCAAAAAATAAAAAAATCACTTGTCAATATTAGATAAGTAGGGGTGTAAACGGATGGAATTCGAATAGGATCASGTAACATTTGAACTTGAATCCGATTAAAAATTCATATCTGAATTCAATTTGATATCCCATGGATATTAAAACTTGATATTTGAATATTTGATTTAATTTAAATTAGATTAATTAATTATTTTAGGTAATTAATAAATATATAAAATAAATATGGATAAAATACAAAAATCTCCCCTAAAATTTCTGACAATCATAAAACCCCCCTTTAATTTAACTTTAGCAAAAACCTCTCTTCAATTATGAAAAAAATCGACAAAAAACTTCCTTTCTTCGATGACGAAGACGAAAAAAAGTTAAATCGACGATAATATTTCTCGAAATACCTATTTTATCCCTCCAACCTCTCCTCTCTTTCCCCGTCCGACCGCAATCGGCTCGTCTTCTCAGATCCCCAGAAAAATCTTAACACGCTCCAAGTTTAAATCCAAACATGGGCCCCACTACTTCCGCCACCTCCACCTCCACCCCCACCACTAGCTGATGATTCCCCAATAGTGACTCACCCGCCATTGTTCAACAGGGTGAGTGATGCTGCTATCGTCGTAGCTCAACCATCTGAAACGGAATCTATGTTGCCGCTGCTGAAATCTCTCCTATAGTGTGCCCGACTGGCCGATTTTGCACAGGAACGAGCCGTCAAACCACTTATTCGACCTCGGGAATCAGTGTCTGAACGTGACAATCCGATGGAAAGAATTGTCTTTTATTTCACTAAAGCTCAGTCGGATTTCTTAAAAAACTGGGAGAACCGCACCAACTTTTGAGACCTCGTCGGAGGATTTCACACTCCCTAGCTTTAAACGATGCCTGCCCATATTCGAAGTTTACCCATTTGACGGCGAACCAAGCGATACTCGAAGTGACCGAGACTGCGAATCGGATACACATTATCGACTTTGAAATAGTTAAAGGAGTTCAGTGGGCGGCGCTCCTCCGAGCCCTGGCAACTCAGTCCACCGGAAACCCTCTATTATCCGAATATCTGGCATTCCTGCTCCTACAATCGAGGATCACCGACGGAATCTCTATCCGCCTCTGKGATTTCGTCAAGCTTCTTGATCTAAATTTTGAGTTCGAGCCTATCTTGACGCCGATTAACGAATTAAGTGAATTTTGTTGGAGAAGATGGGGTCGCTGTAACTTTGGAGGAGAAGCTTTAAGGCGCGTCTGAAGACATGTCTTTAAAACGTTTTTTGCCCCTACTTAGTTTTACTGAGTTTGCTGTTGTGTTACAGGCAAATTCGTTCCCAGGATACAACAGAGCCTTGGGCGAGAATCTGCAACCAGCAAAGTTGAAGAGTCTCCAAAGAAACCTTCTGTGAGACCGTAGCAGACCGGACTGAGAGAGTGAATTTCGAAATTGTGTGTTTTAGAGTCTGATTCATGCTCCTTAAATAATTTGTGAAGAGGTATGAAGAAAAGGTAGGTGCTGGTTTAGAGAAAGCACCTTGAACAGTCACAATTTCAAACATTGTGACTGTTTAAAAAGTAGTTAACAGTTTGTGACTGTTAACTTTGAATTGTGCCTCTTGATCACACCCAATCGAATCGTGACCGTTGATCTCATCAACGATGATCAACGCACCAAAACCAGAGTCGCCCATCGCGAGCCACGCGGGTGCGCGCAAAGTGCGAGCAAAGTGCGCCTCTAAAGCGCCTCATTGCGCGCGTTGCACAGTATCGAATCCCCATACTCTCCTCTACTAATTCTAAGGAGTGTAAATCAGCTCATATTGAAATATTGAAAACAAAACTTATAATTTTCCAATGTGGGACAAGTTCAAAACTGGGTTTTGTAAGAGAAAAACTGATTTTTTCAATCAAGTGTAC